TCTCTCTCTCTCTCTCTCTCTCTCTCTCTCTCTCTCTCTCTCTCTCTCCCCCCGTACTCCTATGTTACACAGGCCAAGCTGCTCGGTTCCTTTGTTTTCAGGTTACAGTGCTGGCTCAGGAAATTCATATCTTCTGGGTATCAGGTTCTATTGATTAGGATGTTTTAGCAGCTATGATTTAGTGTAAAGGGATACAAATTACAAATGGTGGTATATATCACTGAAGTTCTTATTGGGAAGGTCATTTTGCACTTGAAGTTGGTAATCCTTTGTCTCCCTGCTGGCAGACTTTTGTTGATCCATATGATAGAATGCTAGCCCTACTCCAAGGAAGGAAGCTGGAGCCGAAGACACCAGCAATGAAGGGATCAGAGGTGACTTTGTGTTTCCCTGTCCATAGTTTTTTTCTCCTCCTTCACCACTCTCCGAAGTTAGTATGGTAGCAATGATAAGGTACTTTTGTTTGACTGGACAATGTGGGAGCAGGTCCCTGTTTGTTGGCTTGGTGCTGATATTGTTATCGCCTCTTAAAGTGCCAGTCTGCAATCTTATGCCGCTGGCCTTTCGTGGATGCGCGCGTTCAAGAGGTCTACAAAAGCGTCTCAGCGTGTAGTGGTTTAAATCGCCAGTACCTTTCCATATGTCGCCCGGCCCGAAAATCAAGACAGGCCGCGGATTCGATTTGATCGGTGGTCACCCTTCCATTTCAGGCCAGCGCTTTACCCAGCATGCCTCTGAAAAAATAGCTGGGAAAGGTACTGGTGGTTAAAGTTACTCTCCTGGCCAGTCTCGACAGGTCGTTTGCCTCTCGTGGAATGAAAACTGGAAAGGGCTTTTGAGTCGTCGTTCTGGTTTGCTGTTGCTTGTGTGGTGGGCCGTACTGTTTTGTTCTTTTTCTCATCTCTGTAACTTGAAATCAAATAGTAGAAATAAGTTCAAATAAGGCTGTGGCTCTGTGGGCTTTTTTTTTTTTTTGGTGTTTTTTATTTTGTCTTGACATTAAGGTTGTGCGAGGCTCAAGGCCTCGGTAAGCCCTACTGGGCCCTGTTTCAGCCAGAACGGCCACCCTAAGTGATGGCGGGCCTGACAAGGCACGAGAGGCCTATTTTTGCTGGGTTGAACGCAGCTGGGAAATTCAGGCAGTTGCGCGGCGCCAGTCGGTTGAGTGAGCCCAGGCCCTGCCTGCCTTTTTCCAAATGAATCTGAGCAGGCCCTGGGCCAGACACGGGGCATGGACTGAACACAGGCTGCTGGCAGTTGGACACGGGTAACCACCCCAGGCGCTGCGCGTGATTCCCTGGGTCAGGGTCTCAGCCACTTGGGGCCTACTGGAAGCTTCTGGGCAGGGGCCCAGCGCAGCCAGGCAGCACGCAGCAGGCAGGCCACTTTGATAAAATAAAGTGCATGCCTCCGCATATGACATTCGGGCACTTGCTACTTGCTGCACAAGCGCTGCTGCGTTATTGGCAGGCAAGCGCCCACACGCACGGGCGAGCAGGGCACATGCAGGCAGCCATAGCCGAGCTGGCCTGCGAGATGCTGGATGGGGCGCATGGTGGTCCCTGGGTGCACGTGGCATCTGTGTGGGGGATCGAGGGTGTGAGTGAAGCGTGAGACATACCTGATGCTTGAGGCGAACGGCATTGGCCGAGATCTGCTCGTACTTCGGGGAAGCTGTTGACGTCACCAACGGCATTGTAGATAGGCTAGATAGGATCTGTCATTCGTAGTCTGGGCGCTGAGCGCCAGATAGGGAATCAACATTGGTTCATTGTTGATGATGATGATACTATTCCAACATTGTCACTTGTGAGCTGTGCTCTTATTTGGTGGAACTCTGCTTTTGGTTCGAGGTCACGACTATCTGGTTTCATGTGTGTGATGCTGCTTGGTCTTTGGAATTGGCTAGCTCATTTTCCTTGCAGTCGGAATTTTATATATGCAGTTTTGACATCCTGTTTTGTATCTGGTTGTGATTCTTGTGACAGCTTTACGTTTCTTGCAATAGACTTTCTGAAACCCTTGATAAAAAAAAAGAAAGGAATTTCCAAAACCCTTGCCATAGGCTATCAGGTATCTCCTGCATCTGTTTTGTGCAAGGACCACTCGTTCGCTCTCCCTATGGGGCTATTAGTGCGGTGTCGTAGCAGTTCTACCAGACAGAAGTATATTGGGAGGAAGGCCTTCGTTCTCACATAAACACCTGTCATCGCCAGGGTTTGATCGTCCATCTCACATCTCTCTCTGCACAGCACATGGCACTGGCCATTACATGGGCCACGCTGCACTACGCTTCGCTCACAAGAATGTTCAAGCGTACATCAAGCGCTGTCAGACAAGAGAAGTGCTCACGATAGCCTTCATCGCTGCACTTACTCTCGACGGCCCTGCTCTTGAAGGATTTTTTTATTTGGCCTCGAATGCTACACGACGGTGGCAAGCTGCTTTGTGCGCCCAGACTGGAGGCCCGCTCTTGAAAGTTAAAGAGCTCGTGAAGGGTCGGGCTGATCACCCTTAAAAAAAACCGCCCTTGCAGGCAGGCACACTTGAACACTTCAAGAGCTGTCGGAATCGAGCCTTCTGACACCTCTTGAAAAAGAAATTCAAGTGCATCCGTCAAAAGTGAGTGCAGTGATGACTCACTCTTGAAGAATCTAGCATCCATCCGACAGCTCTTGAAGCTGTTTCCAAGCTTTGTTTTCCAGTGTGAGTGCGGCGGTGCAGAACGCTTGATTCTTCAAGCTTCAAGTGTAGTGCAGCGGGGCCCCATGTCCATTTTTGAAGCCTCTGACCACACGTGAAACACATGTGATTAGTGCTAATTGGCCATTCAGATTGTGACGATGGTGTTTTTTTGTGGCGCGGCAAACGGTATGCATGCTCCTTATTGTTGAGGATCATTTGTCTCCCCCTGTGCTGGAGCAGAGCAATTCGTCAATGCTCTGCAACCTTCTCCTCTGCATGGCTGGTCGTACTGTTGCACTTGGCTGCCGGTGTCATTGTCTCTGCCAAAATCACTGCAATCCCATGGTGTCTGCTGCCACATGTCCAGAGGGATGGCCCTTCTTTCTTGACTGTGAACACTCTCTGCACCGGGACATCATGTACATTTTGCCGCCAGGGATATTGTTATGCATGCATGCTCGCTTATGATGTCCGCTGTTCTTTTGTTCTGGACCGCAAGCAGCGTTTGTTGGGAGTGCTTAGTGGGCATGGTTGATGCCAGCCGTCGTGGCAACAGTTATGCTGAGAGTTCTCGGTTACGTCTTCCATGTCATCACCCATCTCATCCCTACTGTGAGCGTTCCTGCTGCCGTCGAGGACAGACTGACTCCTGAGTCGTCGTTTATCATGTTTCTGTCGTGTCAGCTCTGTCGTCTTTAGGAAATTCGGACCCATTCCTGACTTTCCCTCTCTTTCTTTCTTTTCTTTTCTTTTTTTTCCCCTTCGAAAGCTGCCTTCTCCTCATATGGGGGAACAGCTGTATTTTTACTATATGTTATTCTCTCAATGCTATGTGAGCCCCCCACGAGCTACCTAGCAACCACCACACATGAGCTCTAAGTCGAGATCAACTACTTCGTTTTCCTTTGCTCTGCATTTCCAAGTAGAGGTCAGCGGACAACATTCAGGCACACGTTCATGTTCGACAGTATATAGTGCTGCATATCTATCAATGAACGAAGTCCAGTATGTGGAACAAGCGGAGAAGAGAATGGACAGCATGAGGCACCAGTGTTGCATACCCCGATGGTCGGCGGCCCTTGACTGGTTGACTGGTCGGCACCTGCCTGTCGGGGGTCGTCGGCACCCCACCAAAAAGAAAAAAAAAAAATGGAGTCCAGAACCCCTTATAACCCCACCAACACTCCCATACCCGCCCAGAATACGCCCATACACCCACCAAACACCCCCAAACCGCCCCCTAACACCCTCATACCCCCCCATACCACCTCTATACCCCTCTATACCCCCCCCCACCATAACCCCTCCAATCCCGAAAAGTTTTTCAGTGGATTTGGGGGTTACTCAACCGGTGCAGTACAGCACCCCACTCAGATCTGAAGAAAATTCAGTGGAAGGCTGTTTTTTGATTGGTTGGCAGACTGCCGACCAGTTGGCCCTACTCGTCAGGTGCGGTGGTCGGGGTCAGCGGTCGGCCGGTATGCAACCCTGTGAGTCACACTGTAAATGGAGGCATTTCGGCATGTAAAATACTGGGGGACGCCACGGTCTTTTCCTGATGGGAGCACAGAACTGGCCCTCTCAGACTGCACCCGTAAAGCTGCTAATTCTGGTTCGTTCAGCTGGGCATCTGCTCGTCTCAGCGCATTCTGACAGGAAGTAATTGTTTGAAAACCTCAGCGAAGTACTGAAAAAAAGGAGGCGGGGAACGGAACATGGACGGCCAAGTTTTTTAAATGAAAAAACCGCTATTGCAATGCGGGGACGGGACATACGCCATGGTCTTTTCCTCATGGAAGCACAGAACTGGCCCTCTCAGACTGCACCCGTGAAGCTGGTCACCACCCTGGTTCGTTCAGCTGGGCATCTGCTTGTCTCAGCGCATTCTGACAGGAAGTAATCTTTTGAAAACCTCAGCAAAGTACTGAAAAAAATGAGGCGGGGGACGGCACATGGACCACTAAGTTTTTTAAATGAAAAACCCCTATCGCAATGCGGGGACGGGACATACGCACAGTCTTCCAAAACGAGCTCCTGTGTTTTCCTGCTGAGATTTTTATTTACTGGTAAATTTTGAACCTGTCATTTGCTGATAAATGTAGAACCCCTCTGTTGAGTATAAATGGCTGGATGAGCCCCTTGGAGGCTTGGACAGATTTTGCATTTGGAGGATGGTTTCTGTCCCAGAGGTCATCAATTTCTCTAGTACAAATGCCATGACCTGCGAAGCAGGCTTTGTTGGCATCTGGCTGGCATCCCTGTATCTGTTTGTTGTGGGCTGAGAAGTGGTGTCTGGTTTTCTGTTTTTGCTTGCTTGCGTGATCTGTGTGCAGGTCTCCAAGAAGCGGATAATATTTGCGTCACCAATGCTTTCTGGAGCTCCCTCGCCAGCTTTTCGGAGGAGTCCTTATTCTGGCAGCATGAGCAATGTTGGAAAGACCAGTCCGTACCGATCAGGAATGTCTCAGCACGCAGCGGCACTCGCTGCTCTACAAGCAACGCCCATCTTCAAAGGCACACCGTCTTTAAGATCGAGGAGTGGACGTGGCATGGGCCATACACCTTCACCGCTCATGGGAAGTATCACCGATGTTCCGGATTTGCCTAGCCTGGAATTACCGCCGTCAGCAGTGGCCGCAGAAGATGCGGCGGAGGCGAAGAAGGCGGCTGATGAGATCTTGGGACTCGCAAACTCCTCCACGAATGCGACTGAGGCGTCTGCAAATGGAGGGAGCACAGAACCCGCCGTAGAAAGTACAGATGATACTGGAGAAGTCGATGGCTCGCCCTCCGCTGAAGGTTTCTACAAGTACGAGGCTCTTAAAGTAGGAAGCAAGTGTGCAGCCAAGAACATTGATGTTACAAAGAGAGAGGTACGGATCGATGGATGGTTCTCTCTCCCTCTTTTTTTGTTTTTCCACCCTTGTCTCTCTGCCCATCGTCCCTGCTCTCCTCCACAAATCTCTGAACATGGTTTCAGAAACGAGTCCGCATTATCTTTTCACTTTCGTGCGCTGTGGTTCTGCAAGAGTGCGCACAATGTCTGCGATGCAGGGAATGCCCTCTCAAATGTCATGCTCTTACGTTCTTGCGAACGCCTCTACTACGTAACATTACGTTACATCAATTGGACAAATACATATCCAACGCCACATAACGGATGTCGTCCTCCTAAGAAACGCCGCGTATAATATCATATCATCGCTTCTGAGGATTGGCAGGAAGATCCCGCCGGACTGTTATAGGAATTACTGTGGCGATGACGAATTGATCGTATGGTTGCAAAATCTCGCAGAGATTATTGGCTATGCCGCTGTGGAAAAATTTGTGATCCCCTGGCGGAGGTTGGCAGTCACGGTTCCTTTCGTGGTTTTATGGCAAAACCCTGAGTCGACACTGTACTGTGGTGCGATGCAGGGAGGCGCTGGGAACAGTGGTGGGGTTACGGACATCCAAACTGTGTGTCAGGACTGACTGCCAAATCAGCTTGTATTAGGGCATACCCACACGAGGCCCCCAAAATCGCAAAATCGCAAAATTGCAAAATCGCAAAACGAACGCACAGATCGAGTGCTTGTAACCAGAGGGCTCTATCTGGCCGCCCGCTCATTTTGCGATTTGGAGATTTTGAGGGCGTACCAATGTGAGTATGCCCTCATAGTGCAGCAGTAGACGGATGATACTGAACAACCCATTTGACAGTCGTGCACTAACATATGTATAATCATATACTGTAATGTGACATGCCTGAACACAATGTAGCACATTTGAATTCTTGGAAATAGGATTGGAAGTTCAGGCTAAACAGGTAATTGCAGGAATTTGTTCGACTATTCGTCGATCAAAAGAAGTAAATACTAAATACTTAAATAGAATTAGGAATAAAATAGAATTAGTAATTGAAAAATAATTCAAAGAAAAGACAAAAGCTTTTTGTTTGGCATGTGCAGCACGTACTTGACAGTGTTGAAACCCTTTTTTAATTGAAGCACCAGTACATGGCCCCAGGCAAGCTGACAGTCCGATTGCGCCTCTCCTAATATCCTGGAGGCTCGCGCTGTGTCAATAAAATAAATCGACGATGAGCCGCCTCCGAAAGGGGCCCGAGGCCCCGACGGCTGGCATGTACTAGTGGTTTAAAACATTGCTGTGCCCGATGGCCAATGGCGTACACAGTTTGGATCGTATACAAGGAGGCATACTGTGTTGATGCCAGCCAATGGCTTAACACAGTTTGCAACGTATACAAGGAGGTGTACCGTATTGGTGCCAGTGAGATACAATGAAATACTAACACTATGTGTTTAAATATATTGGTGCCAGTGAGATACAATGAAATATCAACAGAATGTGTTTAAATATTAAAATATGTAAATTTTATATTTTGCATGGGTTGGATTCTGGGTGGATGCTTACCGTATTTATTTATGCCTCTCTGTGGGTGGGATGTGCAGTCGTACCTTAGCGACGAGGACTTCAAGAAGCTTTTTGAAATGGATAAAAAGGAATTCTACAGTCTCGCGAAGTGGAAGCAGGCAATGCGTAAGAAAGCAAAGGGACTCTTTTGATAGGGATGCACTGGCGTGATGGCCCAAAAAATTCCTTTGGTTTGGCTGGTCATGTCAAACTTGCTACTGCCATTGTTGCTCCTATCATGCTGTGCTTTCGAACTTGCGCACCATCTATGTGTTGTGATATTGGATGAGCTCCTCCTTTCTTCTTTATCTGCTGTCTCCTGCTTCCACCAGGACAGAATGCAGTGCTGTGTGGACTAAAATTGTCGCCGCCATAGCCAGGTATCGGGGGTATTTGAGAAAATGGGAAATGAACAAACGACGGCAGTTGAGCCATCCGAGAGACCATGGTGAGGGCGCAAGGAATGCGCCATTATTCTAGACCTCTTCATTGCAGAAAGGACATACGGCCGGCAGCTCTCATGAACCCTTCTGCATTGTTCAAAATTGTACAGCAAGGCCTTCCAATGAATGTACTTGTCGGTGCTCATGCTGCATATCTCCTTTGTTGGACTTGTTAGGCTGCCATTGGGTATTCTGTGCCCCTTGTCACTTTGAAGTATATACATACATATATATAATCTCCCATCGGGTCAGCTCAGTGGAGGGACGGACTGCAAACTGCTTCATCAGAGTGTGGAGGCGTATTTGGTCGGCACAAACGGGATGAGCGAGTGCATGGCGAGGGAACATCCTGTGCGCAGCATGTGCTCTTTGAAGGAAGGAGATTCCGAGTCAGCAGACGGGAGACATGCGCAGGCGGCCGACCGATCTCCTTCATACTGAAGCGATTCCTTCACACGGAGGGCTGTCTGGTTTCCGGATGGCTTCGTCGTATGCGTCACCTCTGGTCTGGATGCTTTGTCTTCTCTTCTGCATTGGTAGAGTGCTAGCGATTATGCTCCACTGTGGCCTATTGTGTCTCTCCTCTTGTCACTTGTTACTTCTGCTGCCACAGCTATTGTTGCCGCTGATGGTGTTTTGCTCTTTTACCTACGCTCTTGCCTGCCTGTGCTTTGGTATCTGTGGCGGAGTCTTGTGTCTACTACCTTTCACGGTTTCGTTTGCAGAGTGTAGTGCTTTGGGGGCTTACAGCTGCTATAGATTTTCCTATACGGGAGCCTTGGGGGAGGTTGAGTGATCCATTCTTTGAATGTGCAGTGGGATAGGACTAGAGGAAGGAAGCAAAGCGTCTGGTCGGTCTAGTGGGCAGGCAAGCCTGGCTGTCCCTTCTGCATATCTCATTCGCAAAGTCGAACTGGATGTCGAGTTTCTTTCTTTCTTTCTGATTTTCGGTAAAGATGATCCGCCAGTACGTAGTGGCGTGACGACTTCGCTAGAACACACTGACAATGGGAAATCAGGCTCTGTGTCTTTCCGTATATATCATGGCTGAGACACAGGTCACATCCCTGCCTGCCTGCTCCCTTTCATAAATAATCCACTTGCATCGTCGAACGTCTCAGGAATTCTCCATACACTTTATCATCCTGAGGAATCTCTTATCTCAGAGAGCCTTTACACCTGTGCAAAGCCAGCGAATAAGGGCGTTGACGTGCTGTCTTGTAGGCTTCGGCACGCCAAAGCCAGATAGGCGCTGGAACACTACCCACATCTGCAGGGCCCTGTTTGTTGGCTATCCCTGCGGCCCCAATTAGACACCGCTATAAATCTGTCCGTCTCTATGCCGTCCCTCAGCTGCCAATGGAGGAGAGTTGGCAGCTGTTAGTGGGTAAGAAGAAGTTGCTCTATCTATGTAGATATCCCTCTCCCCTC